CGACAAAACAGACCATACGAGTGGGCGAGCGAGCGGGTGGTCAAGTGCGAGCGTGCGCATATAGGACAGAGAACAAGACCGGGCGGGGCTCGACGGGCTGGGTGTGGGGCGAATACGATTGGATCTTGATCCCGGGGCTACTTAATGAAGATTGTCTCGTAATGGGTGATCAACAGTTGGGTGAACGCGTTGATCACACTCATCACACTGAGTGAGGCCTGATGACGTGACCAGATCAGACTGGGTCCGAACACCACCGACAGATTGGCCGCGTTCATTTTATTCTGATTCGCGTGTAGCGTCACCTACAGACAGGGACCAGGAGGGGGGGGGAGTTGGGTTGGGTTGGGGGAGGAGGAGGAGGTGGGAAGCNGCTCACTACTGGGCGGTTACACAGGGAACTACCATGTTCACGAAAGAGGGTGAAAAGAATAGTCCACAACCCACAGAAAGCACCCAATCTCTCGCAAGGGGCAGACAAGTTACAGATACCGTCCAATCACGCATGTTTCTGACCGTCCGGATACCTCGACGCACATAGAGCTTCACAGTGCCTAGTTTAGTCTCGCTCGTCCACGGGAGAAACAAGGGAGACACAAACGAGGTCTCCAAGATCAACAAGCAGGCGATTACCATACCTCAGTGAAAATAACCCTTACGAGGTGGCCGCGTTACGCCTGTGAAATCGGAGCCTAAAAGACAATTAGGATTAGTTTTTAGTCACAGGAAGTTGTCAAGGCATGCAACAGGCTACCGCATGAGGAAGACTCTTCAGTTCTGGTTGGTTTAAACAACCATTAACCATGCGCTTTCATGCACCGGTTTTGTTTGTCGTCTTTTTACTGCCCATTCGAACGAAGAGGTAGAAGAAAGCTTGGAAAGTTGAAAGTAGAGTCGAAAATAAAATGGCCCATTCCGAGAAAGGTTCTAGGTGCGTCTGCTGCACATTTTGAAGCCCGATTTGACAAAAAGTGGAATGTGGTCTGTGACTGATCGACAAGCTACTATCTTCAACATTGAAAAAGATCAGTGCCCTCACTGCTTTCAATAGTCACTAAGGCACAAATGATTAACTTTTGAAGCGTGATGACATGTGGACACAAGAAAATTAAAATAAAACAGATTGAGGACAGTCAAAGATTAAAGATTACAAGCTCACGCTTCTCTCATCCCATAGGTTCCTGTCGTGGTTAAAAGACTGACACATACAATTCCTTGTGTAAAATGTCACATGACACGGGCTTCACTTCACTTATGTTGGAATGTCCGTCGAGCATAGATCTCAAATTGCATGATGCGAAAAACAACCTACAAAAAAGCACCTCAGACTCACCTCCGTTAGGAAACGCATTAAATGAGAAAGGATCTCATAGTTATCATCGGGCAGTTTTGTGAGAACCAACTCCTTGATCGCAGACACTTTGGATCGGCCTTGCAAATCTGATTGCCAAAAAAAGAACACAGCAAACAGCAACAACCGAGTTCAAAATCATTCGCGAATGCACAACGCAGCGTACACATAGAAATAGACATATTCAACCAATCTGACAAAAACAAAAGAAGAAATGGGGCACGTAGCAGGATTTTAAGTCTAGGTAAACAGAAATATCGTATGAATTGATTATTCACCTAAAGGGATACTGGCACGCCGTCCGTCATTCATCCAAAACATCGTCATCATAATGAACGAGGAACAGCGAAACGAACTTGACTGATCACTGCTAAACTCAAAATACAAACCAAGAGAGTGTAAAGCACACCATGAGTGGACCGGTATTGAGTGAGGGCTGGGGGAAACGAACCTTTATGATTAACTCATTGAGTACAAGGCATAATCAAATCTATCTGACCGTATAAGAGGTAACAATGCGAACACCACTGTTGTCGGTTCACTATAATTTCCCTCAGTATCTTCAACCAACTAGTTGCGCAGTCTTTTGGAAACCAATGCGGACGACAGGAGATTCTTGTTTGCTCTACGCACATCAACGTACCTCGTCTCCAGGTCTTTCGCTGATGTCAATGTCCTGGTTGCCTTGGTGGGCAGCTCAAAACATAAACATAATCGAGAAAGGCAGAGAGCTGTTTGACCTTCTACAATTGACATGACATGTGATGATAGTCCGCTAGCAAGACATATAGGTAAAAAACCTATAAAAAAAATTAATTGCAACAGAGGGACAATTTCAGCTATCCAGACTGACCCTGAACAGCTGGCCATAAAACAAAATACAACATACAACCTACGGGATATATGTAAAATTTCCCAGCGCAAAACCACTCTAAATAGACAAAAATATTGTTGGTGGTGTATTTAAGGAGTTGGACGAGTAAAAATTTATCGGGGTTATCGGAATCCGAAAAACTAGGAAGAATTATTGACGGAAAACGAAGTCAGTAGGAACTCACTGTAGGTGCTCAATACCTCATCGTACAGCTCAAATGTGAGCAGCGGTTCGGTCAATTCCCGGAGGAATGATTTTAACAGAGCGGCAGCCAGATGTGGATCATCAAAGTCTCGCAAATCGACCGATTCACCTTCACGGAGGGAAGGGAACGGGTGATACAGCAAAATTAATGCATGAGGCCGACAGAATTCGTTTGCAAATAAGGTCGGGTAAAAATGTGTGACCAAAAAAAAATGCATATCGTGGACAGCAACCGCGACCGCATTGTAAGATTCCTGGGTGGGGAGAAGATTAAAATGTTCGCTTGTGTGCGGAAATCTTGAAATAAAAACAATTGAAAGATGTCGTCTCCAAAACTGTCACCATGATTGGGCTATATGAACAATCAATGTCCGCACTGATGGAAAGGCGAAAATGGGAGCGGGGGGGGGTGGGGGTTGGAGGATAATAAAAATCACATGGAATTCAGCGTCTCAAGTTTCAGCAAAATATTCCACCACGTCAAATCATTTCAGTCCCGGGTCGACCTTATTTCACCCTATAGGGGACGAACATTTAGCTACATTTAGCACAATCTTTCGTTTGTGGAAATTGAATGGTAAAAAAGGGCGACGATACGTCACAGATACGGGAAATTTAGCAAAGATTTTGTTTAAGGGTTCCAATCGGCATTGGTAAGAAAATACGGTATTACAGANNNATTACAGAAGAGTTGCATGTTGTGGTGCGTGCTGCTACATGCTTATACTTGGGGCGAGTGCTAGATGTAGAGACATTAACTGAGGTGAGAGTACAGTGGGTGAGATAGGTCAAGTAGTATTCTGGTATAAAGTTTCTGGCAAGCCCTAAAGAGCTGTGAAATAAGAAACTACGAAACATGCTCACGAGACGGATGTGCATGTGAGTTTAAATTCTTTGCTTAAAAGACCTGGAAAAATAACTGGGGATGCATAAAGCCAGTGGGGAAGAATACAAGGAAAGATAAAACATTTTATTTAGTGAATTGGGGTAGATAGTATATTCAGACGAACAATGTAAAACGTGAGCTTCCTGACATTGTGAAGTGTCTGAACAACATGAGGAGACCAAGAAAGATTGCGGGAAATGATGACTTCAATATTTTTGACGAAATATGGTCTGGGAACTTGGTCTCCATGGAGAATTACATGAATAATCATCCATCACATCAGGATTTTATCACATCCATTTGTTTTTCACTTAGTAAATGTCGATTCTTCTTTTTCTAATGCTTAAACATTTTTCTCGATTTAACTTGTCGAAAATGCTAAAAATTCATCCTTTCAGGTGTACAAAGATTTACTTGACTTGAACTTGAATAGTGGCCGGAGTTCGTCACATTAAGGTATTCGTCACCCTACAGAAATAAAATCAGGCATCATTCCAGTTCGAAGGATTCATTATAAAATTGTATTGTGAAAACCAGTCGATGAGCATTGAAATATTCTGCATACGTTTGGGGTACATGGAGGAATTCGGAAATTTCATACCATACAAACACCATTGACATAGTGAGTAAACAATCATCAGGAGCAGGCATGGAAGAACAAGAGGGAAGAGAAGACAGTGCCTCGAAGAACTCTGTGAGTGGATGATAAAAGTGAAGAGTTGAGACCCTTATATTTAGTGAACTGTAATTGATGAATGAAATAACTACGTAACAGATTGGTAAGCTCCGGTTGAATACCTTTCTCAGAAAGACTGTGAAGAAGTTTGAACCTATTACCATGATTACAGGTGTCACTATAATCAAAAATGGTAGGACTGTATTTGAATAACTGAGAAAACCTCATACACGAAAAAAATGGGGATTTTCATAATCCGAAAAATAAGACATCCCTGGAGAGCAATCAGAATCGATCAACGTAACAGTCGGTGTCTCGGAAAAACACGATATTGACGGCCGCAAAGCGAAATCTTAGTTCTACTACTGCAAAATAATCAGTAGTCAGAAATTACACCTAATCGCTATAGATTGTTGGTTATTCAAAAAACGGCATGCATTCAAAGGCCCGAAAGTGTGCGGGCCGATCGGTGCACACACACACACACACAGCTGAATCCACTTTGGTATGCCGAACAAATCAAGGGACAATGATCATTTTTGACTACAGAAAGTTCCAACATTTGACCTTAAACGCGCCCAGGCCAAGTAGGGTGATTTATCTGCGAAATTCACAACCGGAGCCTTCGGCTAGTCCAACCAGTGTGAAAACCGCAATTTGTCGAGGGCCAATGTCCAAGTCGTCGACTCATATGCCCTTTGCACGGTGTCCAACGGCCAAAATACCCAGTACACCAGTGACCATTGCGACAATCAAAAGAATGCCGTTCGTACATCCCTTTTTGGTTGGTTTGCTATTTGGGTTTTTAGTCAGCTCCCCTGGGTGAAATGACACTGGTTCGCCGATCCGATTGGTTTCTTGTTCTCTCACTTTGGTGAGAAAACACCTCAGACACGAGCAGTCTTGAGTGGGGCTCGTTTGGATATTGAAGTGTATTGGGTACTTATGACGTGTGCCCCCACATAAATGCGGATTTCACATATCACCTCGCTGCTTTGCAGTTAACACTTCGGATAATGAGAGCTACCCTTGGAAATTCACCATCCTTGGTCTGGGTAGCCTGGAAGTACAGTGCCCACGAGTACATCAGGATACTCATTTGTTAGGTACATCACCTGGAGTGTATATATATACATATATATATATATATGGTGGCTGGTCTCGAGGAAAATTAGGTAGACCTATCCCACAAGAAAGATTTTCGCCCAAAGCAACCTAAATATTGTACAAGCCGAAGACAATGGAACGGAAGTTCCAAATGCACTGAAGTTCATTCAGGGTCATCAGACAAAAGAAATGATTATACAATGGAGGTAAATAGAGAAGAAATGGTGTTAACACAAGGCTGAGTTGACTACCATGAGCAATAAGGCGTGAAACAGGTCAACGTTTCCTAGACAACCGACAAGGTGCATAAAGCGTGTGATGACAGCCGCTGCACGGGAACAGCTCTCGATAAGGTAATCTCCTGGTCTTCCAGATTGAAGATTTCATGCAAACTGGCTATTTAGTCGTTAAAATCGATGACAAGCAATAATCGATCCTTATCCAACTTTACCAGACTCAAATTCGTCCCACAGTTGAAGAAGGCAGTCATGTTCGAGAAACTTTATTCAGCTCCGTGTTTTTCCCTGATGAGTTTACACGTAGGACCGTTCGCCTCATCAATAACCGGTCCATTAACATAGTGTGCCGGCAAACACACTCGTCGTCGAGCTGTCACTCTTTATCCTTATTCTATGACTACCTAACCAAGCCCTCCTGCTCCGACCCGCTATCAATGCTTGTTTATTCACAGTAGGTCTATTGCGTATGCAGCTAGTCATCCATCCATTGCGGGTGTTCATCTACAGGTGTCTCACTTTCACCTTCAGTCATCTTATTCCATCGCGAGAACAGTACTTATGCGGAACATCCTTAAGCGTGGATGCAGCAACAACACGTCGCTTCCGGTTGCAATTATTCCCTTCAGCATCCTATGTATATTATATTCTTTGGGTTCTGGAGTTGAGATCTGCATCTTTTTTACACACCGGTGTCTGATGGACAGCAGACGGAGTGGAACCTCATAGTAACGAAGACCTGCTGTTCAGTGATGGTAACCAGCAAACTAAGCCCCGGAACATGGAGTGGAAAACCACATATAGCCCCGCTAGGTTAGGCGTGGTATTCAACCGGACGACAGCAAAGTTGTCTACCACTTATGCGTAACAAAAATAGGTCAGCATCTAACACTCTCCAACCGGTGCCTCAGGGTCAGGTTTGTGTTAGAACCAAAGGATTTGGTAAAGATCCCATTGAACTGCAATCCACACAAAGCAACAAAGATTCTATATCCTATTGAGCGTCAGGTGAAATAAGCGACGGCGAGCTGTATCGAAAAATGGCAGTCCCGCTGCATACACGGGCGAGGTGTACCACAAAACTATCTCACATATCTGGTTGATATGTCATTGTAATGGTGGATGCTTTTACCGCGCAGGTTGGAAACCCAAGGGCCTCCAAAGTGTGACTAGAGAGTTGTTTGGCTTTGATCATTCGACCAACAGATAACTTTCATCGATTAACTCAGATCCGAACGTATTATCCGTGCTCATTTAGTACTGAATTCAGACACAACGGTGGACCGACGGCAACATGATATCGTATTTGAACCAGCAGGCTGGCACATATGGACCCCAGTGCGAATCGCTGACGCGACCCAACATGAAATCACGGGTTCTATTGCCCCCTTTGAGCCTGACCGCAGGTCCGATACGCTTTAGTATCCCCTCGAGCTCCCCCTCTCACAACTCCTTTCACGACAGGACAAGGTTCCCCAAAAGTGTTATTGCTGTGGGGTTGCGCAACATATGGTCAGCAGATAAGAGATTATCCTGTTATCCCGGAGCGAATCAGTGATCACTTTAATTTTCAAAGAGAGATAAGCTGAATTCTAGTCGTATTTCTACGAGTCATATGATACCAATCGGGCCGATTAACAGAAAAAAGAACTGTAACACAGCGTAGTAGTGTTGTGTACAAAGAACCTTCAAATAACCTTCGAGAATCCCGGATGATAAACTGAGGACGGAGGGAAGTATGCATTCAACAGATGGGAAAAGGAACAGCTGGCATGCTACGTACACGTACATGTGTAGTAATGGGCAGACAATCTAATTTATTTTCACTTGTAAGCGAGCCCTTTCTAACTCCTTACGCGTCTTAGAAAGGTGACACTATTACAGTATTCAAAAACGAAAATCGACTGATAACAGCTGGAACGGCTTACATTCAAATGGGTATTGTTACTTTATTAAAATTTTAAAAGCGTAGATATACATCAGTATATATATATATATATATATATATATCTTTACACACACAAAGTAATTTTGTTGGTGTAAGTAGTCGAGTTGTCAAACTGTACAAGCTTGTTACGATGTTATTTGTTTAGACAAAATTGTTGTACTACATCAAATTCTTAACCAATGGTTGAAAGTGAATGAAATCCGGTGGCAACACGGTCGCACTACTCCGTGGGGAACACAACGAACAGAAGCCTAGAGAACGAACTACCGTCGATCTTTAAAAAGAACCGAGGGTAAAAATAACTATCTTGTCCGTCCCCGATTCCTAGCGGCAACCTGCTAAAAATTTCAACCGAATTCGTTCCATTCATTCCACCAACAAACGTTCACGTTAAATTGATTGCACGGTTCACGCCTGTGTGTGGAATTGAACTTGACCACACAAGTGGACTATAGCTTCAGCGTTGGATAAGTTACTATAGAAGTTCGCACCTAGACACGCATCATCAATTCGGTCAGTGAATGGTAGGTGGAATCTGGAGCCCCTTGTATTGAACACCTATTCTAGTCATACACTAAGTTGAACTGAGAGCGAGTCGTTTGTTAAATCTTCGGTGACAAACGAAGATCACACCCCGCGTGATTTGTAAATCGTGCTACGAGGAATACGAGAGCACGCTCACGACCAAAACCGGGGATCGAGTGTTCGCACAAACCGCATTCCATATGCATCATCACATACTGTTTGAAGCTACGAGACAGCGAGCGAGCACGTCTGTGTGCGGGCTGGTGTGTGTGTGTGTGTGTTCGTAATTGCAAAGAGGTCCCGTATCAGACGGTATCAAATCTCGTCCACTCACTGGAGTCAAATAAACTTGATTGAAAAGAGAAATGTTCACTTCAGATGGGTTCATCTGTCTCCATGACAGAAAGCAGTCCCTTAGGATGTGAGAGACATGCAACCGGTGGTTGCGTTGTGTTCTGTTTACTCACAAATCTAACACGAAGGCAAATGGGCAGACTTGCCTTCCTTATGCAACCAAGATATCGATCACCTTGCCCCAAGGCTGATAACTGTAGAGGCATTATAGTTTGCTCATATGACCGAATAGCGTCCAGTTTATTTTCTGAGAAGTCACCGACACACCATGGGGGAAATTGACCAATCAGATTGCACAACCGGAGTGAGTCGTTTCAGTTAATCGTGGGTGGTAGTGCCCGGATCGAACGACAAGCAAGTGGCCAAAACAACTGCACAACTGAAAATAGGAAATATCTCGACGCAAAATTGATCAATTCTTATTTTACTATACCCAGTTTAGACGGAATGACCCGCATGAGCAGAAACAACTAATCATGGTTAGATTCAAAATAATTTTCAGTACACCTCTGGTAAAAATACTGAATTACAATTCATGGATGGCATCATTCTCCTTTATGAGGATATATCCGACCTGAAAAGAAATCGTTATCCACATTGGGCAACAGTCCATCCAGATCGACCGAAAATTGAACACATTGAGAAATAAAAAGTGTGCAACACTCGCGAATCACCCCC